AGAAACACTGTCCTAGACACTTCCCCATCTTCAAGTTGACAAGGTTGAGAAACACTGGTCTATTGTTTGCAGTGAAGGCCTAAGCCAGAGACGGGCAACTATGGCGATTTTATAACCTGTGGAGGTCAACTCCCAGAATCCCTGAATCAGCAGAGCTCAGTAATTCTGGGAGTTGAAGTCCACAGGTCCTAAAGTTGCCGTAATTGCCCACTATGGGGATAAGCGGAAAGCTGTGAGTGGGGAAAGTGGGATTTCAGCCCCAGCCAGGACAGGGACTCCCTTCCCAGCCTGGAAGTGCTGCAGGGTGGAAGGTTGAGGCTTGGGAAGCATCGGGCTCTTCCTTGACCCGCATTCCTTCCCTCAAAGCCTCTCTTTGTTCTTGTTGCAAATTCCATGCCCGCGGAATCTATTCGGGTCAGCAGTGTTCCTTTCCAGGGCTGGGGGAGAGTCCTGGCTCCCCCCACTCTCCACCACCACCACCCGTTAACCTTGAGCTCTTTTCCAAAAAGCAGCCCTGGCACCAGAGGTGGTGGTGAGGGGGTCCGAGAGGAGCCCCCCCCCAGGTGGCTGCAGATTGGGCGGAGGAGGCTCAAGGCAGGCCAGCCCTTTCGTGCCCCCACAGCCGCAGGGAGGGTGATGCCCTTGAGGTCATTGGCAGCCCTAAAGCTGTAGACTTGGCCGGGAAGTTCAAACGATTTTGGAAGGAGGCGAGGAAACCACTTCCGTCTTATTGCTAAGAAGGTTCATATTCTTGCCAGCAGCCCTCAAGCTCCCTTCTCTGAAAATTTCCCCTTTGCCCTCATTGCGAATGGACCTTCTGTCCCAGAAAAGCATCGAGGACAGGGCCGGCTGATTCAGGAGCCAGCACAGAAGGCCAGCTCTTCCCTTCTGAGCCTCCAAGCAGGGCCGGAACCCAGGGGTGAAATTCAACAGGTTCTGGAGAACCAGTAGCGGAAATTTTGAGTAGTCCGGAGACCCAGCAAATGCCACCTCTGGCCGGCCCCAGAATGGGGATTTTGCAGTATCCTTCCGCTGCCCACCAAGCCACGCCCAAAGAACCGGTAGTAAAAAATTTGAATTTCACCGCTGCCGAACCCCTTTGGCAGTGGGATCAGCACCGGTCAGTCAGCCTCTCCCCCGTCTTCCCCTGCCTTTTGCCCAGGGCAGGTGGGGATCCTGTTTCTCGGCCCCTGGGCTGGGGAAGCCCTTGGCTCTTTGAGAGAGAGGACCCCCAACTTGGGGGGAGCCTCTGCTGTGTTTCCGCAGCGCCTGCTGTTCTGGAAGGCCTGGAAGCCATAGAGGAAACCCAGAGGCCCTTTCCATGCGTATGCATTCCTTCCGCTCCGTGTCTGCCTGTCGGATCCTTTGCGAGGACCTCAGAGTTTGGAATCGCTCCAGGAGAGGCGGCTGGCCCAGGTCTTTTAAGTCTTTCATTCCCCTTAGAACCAGGCCTTCTTTTAGTGCCGTGTTTCTCAGCCTTGGCAACCTGAAGACCGAATGGACTTCGACTCCCAGAATTCCCCAACCAGCCATGACGACGGGAATTCTGGGAGTTGGCATCCGCCTGACTTCATTGGTCGACATCAGTCCAGTGGGCCCAACAGGGCATTCGGGCCGATGCCCCAATTCCGCATCTTTCTGTGGCTCTTCTGCATTTGCTTGCAGAAGGAAACGGCCGGAAGGCTCAGAATTTCAGCTCTGCTCTCCGTTGGGCTGCTTCCTCTCCCCCAACGTGTGTCTTGCAACCTGCTCCTCCGGAAGCGGCCGCCAGTCAGCAGAGCTCTCCTGCTGATGGATGCAGCGGCGCACCACTTCCTGTTGCTGAAGGGAGGAAGCGCCAGTGGGTGGCTCACGACAGCCCCTTGCAGAGAGCTCCAAGCGTTAGTAAGACTTTCCATTGTCACTCTGGAAGAAAAAGAAAGAGAGCTCCTCCAGGCCCCACGCTGGAATCCGTTCCCCGGGTTAGGGAGATATTTAAACAAGCTGAGCTCTGGGGAATCGTCCAAAATTCCTTTTGTAGCTACAAAAGTGTAGCTTCTTCCCTGTGAGTGGACAGCAGCGTCTTTGTGGGGGCCACAGCTGCATCTCTGCTTAAAAGGAAAAAAAATCCCGTTTGCAAAAAAGCAGGAATGTTAGGCAAGGTGGAACTGTGGTTTAATTTGAGTTCTTTACATGCCCAGCGGAACCAGGGTTACGGTTGATTTAAATAGTGACTTTTGTTTTGAAAGAGTTCATCCAGAATTCACTTCATAAAGGGGTGGGTGGGTGGGAGATTTGAGTGGGTTTGATCCCGAGGGTGCCTCGCTTGTTCTAAGTCCTCGGGTGCAGCAAGACGGAACTCCTCTCTAACGTAACCCCCCTCCTTTTTTACTTTTTTAGGGATTGACTTCAAAATCAGAACAATAGAACTCGATGGGAAGAAAATCAAGCTGCAGATATGGTGAGTGTATCAGAAGGCAACTGGTTTCCGGATGCAGGTGGGAGCTTCTGAAACGGAGGCCTTCCTTTCTGAAACTCCACGCAAAAGTGGAGGCTTAAGAGCTGGGCAACGCTGGCAGGGCATCTGGGCTGGCAGAGCGAAGCCTCCTCGGGCGTGGCAGCCGCTCGGCCTTCCTGGCTGTTTGGGACTTGGTCCAAGATATACCTGGGTTTAAGGCACCATTTAATCAGCATTTCATGGAAGTCAGAGCCAGCGAGGAGAAGGTGCAGGAGGCTATCACTGGGGGGGGAGGCCAAGGGATGGCCTGAGAGCTGCACTCGAGACGGGGATGTTGGCTTGTCAGATGCTCAGGTGGAGCCGGCCTTCGGTCTGCACCTGGGCTCCACCTTCTGCTCAGCCAGATGGTGGGTAGAGTTGTGTGCCGGGGGTCCAGCTGACAATCCAGCTGTTTTGAGAAAGGCACGAAGCACTGATTTCCCCTATCCCCCCCCCCCCGCCTCGGTCTGACGATGCATCTTGGTTTCCAGGGACACTGCAGGCCAGGAGAGATTCCGCACCATCACAACAGCCTACTACCGAGGGGCCATGGTGAGTGTGCGCTTTCGGGCTGGCCTTTGGAACAGGTCACCTAAGCTCACCCTGCCGCGCCCCTTTTTCCATGCCAAGCCAACCCCTCGTGGGTCTGCTCAGGAGGGGCCGAGTCTGGGGCCTTTCCCAGCCCTTCAGCCCCCACCCCCACCCCACAAGGCCAGAGAGCAAAGCGGAGGTTTCACAAGCAGCAGAATTGGCAGGACAGGAACTGCGAGGGACCTGGGAGGTTGCTGGGTGACTTTCCCTCTGGCCAAATAGGGGAAGTGGCAGAGGAGCACAGCAAAAAGAGCCAGAAGTGGCTGAGGCAGATGTGGGGTCTCCAGAGGAGGCCATTGAAGTGGGTGGGTGGGCCTGGACGTATTTGGGAGGGAGAAAGAGGCCCTTCTACCTTCTTTCTCCATCAGCCTGGCCTCCTCTTATTTCTGGAAAGCCGGGTGGGTTTTGGGGGGGAAGGCAGACCCCGAGCCATGGGCTGTGCCGATGGGGCAGGGTGGGCTCTATGGGGGCCAGGCCTTTCCAGCTGCAGCTGAAGGAGCACCAGAGGAGGGGAAGCATTCTGCTGCTGCCCTTCTGGGGGTCTTGCCAGAGCCCGAGAGGCCAAACCAGGCCTTTGATGAAGAAGCTGCAACAGAAGGAAAGGAGGCCTCTGAAGGCTTTCCCATTTGCCATGAACATCCCAGTTAAGAAGCACAGAGACCCCCAGTTGACCCAGGAGGGGGTGGTGAAGGAGGAGCCCTGTTTTAATGGCCACAGGAAGACGTATTGTGGCCACTGCGGAATGATGACGGCTGCACTCTTTCCTTTCCCCCCAGGGGATAATGCTGGTTTATGATATCACCAACGAAAAGTCTTTTGACAATATTAAAAACTGGATCAGGAACATAGAAGAGGTAGGTGGGCCTGGAAGGGGAAGAGACGTGGGGGCGTCCTCGGGGGTCCCACGTAAAGAAGGCGCAGGAGGGCTGGGGGCAGAAATGGATGGAGAGACGAGCTGAGGACCCCCATTGTGGAGCAAAGCTAAAACAAGGCCAAAGGGGGACCCAGAGTTTGTGCCTGCAGCTTCTCCGCGCATCAATCAGCTCCCATTGTTCCATTTTTCCTCCTTGAGTCACGGCCCTCCAGATTTCCTCCCCTGTTGGCAGGAGTCCTGCTCCGTTTTGGGCTGGGGCCTCGCGGGTTTCCTCTGCTCCTCCGATGGCCGAAGCTTTGTTTAGCCCTCGGTGCAGCCTGAGAGCAGAGCAGACTTTTAAGAGGGTGGAGGGTTTGCAAAGTCCGGGGCTCCCTCCCTCCTTCCCTCCCTCTTAACTCGCTTCCTCCTCCCTTCGCCCAGCACGCTTCTTCGGATGTGGAGAGGATGATTCTGGGCAACAAATCTGACATGAATGACAAAAGGCAAGTTTCGAAGGAGAAAGGAGAAAAGGTAAATCTTGTGAAAACAGAGTTTCTGATATCGGAGCTGCCTTTTTCTTGGCGGGGGTGTGGGGGGGATCAGGGGGGTTTCGGCAACACCTTTCCCGACCACCAAATGGGATGAACTTTCTTGAACTGCGGCCTTTTCATAAGCCTAGTTGGAGTGGGGCTGCCAGAGAGAAACACACGCGGCCCAGGTTTGTCTCCAGAGATGGTTTGGCGGATGATAGGTTCCCCAGTTCCCCAGCTGAAGAACACGAGAGCTTCAGGGGCAAAAACGTGCAACTCCCCATTTATGAAATTGCTGAATCTGACCCACTGCTTGTTGGGATCTTCCTATTGCAGTTAGCAATTGACTATGGCATCAAATTTCTGGAAACCAGTGCAAAGTCCAGCATCAACGTGGAAGAGGTGAGCAACACGTAGGTGCCAGCAGGGGTGGGACCTGCAGCCATGAAGCCTGATGTCTCAGAGAGGGAGGGGGGAACGGGAAACCCCCCCCCCCACTTCTCCCTCCCAAGCATTTCAAGGCCTCCTTGCTGCCGCTTGTTTGTGGAAAGTCTGTCGCTCTGTGGCAAGGACTCGATTCAGCCCCTCTTGGCCTCTTCAGGGAAAAGGGGGCAGTGCCCATGTCACCTGGTAGCCTCAAGGACTGGCACAAAGGTATTGCCCCCCCCCCAAAGGTTTTGCTTTGTCCTTCGAGGGCAGAAAGCAGATCCCCCAACTCTTCTGCAGCTCTTCTGCCTTCTGGGGGGCCCACTGGGGTAATTGTACATGTCCCCCTTGGCCCTCCTTCGCAACCCCCTCCGTGGGTAAATCTTTGCCACCCCTTTCTGGGAAGGTTGGGGTGCCAGCAGGGGTATTTGGCCAAAAAGAGGTTTGGATTCTGGATTGGAATTCATAGCTCAAAATGTGAGAAAGGCCCTTGAAGCATAATAGCTGCCTTCCCCTAAAGGGCTTCATTCCCCACTCCGAAGGAATTGTCTGAAGTCCGCTGGAGTTAGGCAGCTACCGGTTTAAATTTAATAAACAATTTCATGCATTATTTGGATCTCCTGGATCTCATCAGATCTCTCCTCTTCCTTCCAGGCTTTCTTCACCCTCGCACGGGACATTATGACAAAGCTGAACAAAAAAATGGTTGGTTTCTCTTGGTACTAAGCTATCCTGGTTAGCTTCTGCCCTTTGTGGGGGCTGAGGGGGGTTGCTGGCCTAGGCAGCTGAAGGGTGGCTTCCCAGCCAGCGGAGGTTTCCCCCAAAGGGGCGGCTGGGGAGGGACTGAGAGCATCGAATGGGCCGATCACAGCCTCCCCTCCCGCTGCCTAGTAAGGAAAGAGGACACGAGTGCAAAACGCACATCGCAGGGTGCAGCCCAGCCACGGGCAAAATTAACAGGCAAAAGCTAAGAGCAGTTGGGAAGGCAAAGGTTTGTTTGATCAACGATTGGGACGATAAAACGCCAGACCACAAAATGGCATTACAGTAATAAAGCATAATAAACAAGTATTTCAAGCTACGTAAAATTCTAATGGGAATTAAAATTACACAGAAGCCATAAAATCAATGGACGCCGTGACATGTTTACATGAAAGAAACCCCATTGTCCTCTAGTGCGTATCTGTAAGCTGTAAACTGATAATGGTGATATCCCAGCTGTCAAAGGCGGCTGCAGAGGCTGGCAGCCCATCATCTCCTTTCAGCACCTACGTCCGCTTTATTCAATGGGCGTATTTGAAGCACTTTGCAGGGGTGTCCGAGGGAGGTCGGAGAGTCCCCTGAGGCAGCCCAGGATTGCCAGCCGGGGAATCCGAACTCGGGGCCTTTGGAGGCTCTTAGCAGCCCTTTCGCTCTTCTGATCCGCCTGTGGAAATCGCGGCTTTCCTTCCTCTTTGCCCAGAACATCCTTTAGAGTTTGAAGGGGAGGATCAGGGCGAAGCTCTTGCAGAGTCCCCGGGTGAGATCTCCTGCACGGCCCTCCTTCAAACGGGGCAAGCCTGGCTGCCTGAGCTCTGCCTTCCTCCTCCCGTTTCAGGCCAAGGATTGTGTCCTTTGGATTTCCCCAAGTGTCCCAGGCTGACCGGTGAACAAACACAAACCCACCGCTTTTCCCCTGCTCTGTGGAACTAAAGCGCGTAAATTTGTTTTCCTGGCTGTTCCCCGACCTGCCAGAGAATCCCAACGGCCACGTCCAGAATCCCCGTGCAGGAAGCCTAATTAAGCGGGGCTTCCTCCTGCCCAGCTGAGACTTACATAAGCATTTTCCATGCCTGTTTTCCTCCTAACGCCATCCGACGTCTGCTTCGGTACTTTCGGAACCCCTGGCGCTTTTCACGATTTCATTTGAGTTATAGGAAAAGGGGAAAGTTTAAACAGAGTTTAAAAAGAAGCCTACAAGCGATCCCTTGCATTCCCTGTTTCCCCTGAGCCCCCTCCTCTTGGTAACCCTGCCTCCTTTCTGTCCTTGCCTCTCTCCCCAGAACGACAGCATTTCGGCAGGTGCGAGCGGGCCAGTGAAGATCACGGAGAGCCGGTCGAAGAAGAGCAGCTTCTTCCGATGCTCGCTGCTTTGATGAACTCCTCCTAAGAGACTGCAGCATACCTAGAACGAAAAAAAAATACCTTTTCCTGCTTCTCTGACAGCACAGGCTCCCCCAGCCTCAGAGCTGTCACCGCCCGGCTGCTGCTGAGGGCTCTGCTTGGACCACTTTGGACGGGCTGAACCGAGAGAAGGGATGGGACTCTCTCTCTCTCTCCCCCGTTGGCCGCCATCGCCAGCCTCCCTGCCCCTCCGAGACATGGAAGCTGAGAGACTCCCACCTGCCGGAGCTCCCTTTTCCTTCCTTCCTTCCTTCCTTCCTTCCTTCCTTCCTTCCTTCCTTCCTCCCTTCCTCCCTCTTTCTTTCGTTCCCTGCCTGCTTCAAAAACTGCTGAGTATTTCCTCTGCACATCCCTGTCAGTCCTTGGCTGAGGGTTAAGGCCGGGTTGTTAGAGGCCCAGGGAAGCTGGTTGGGGGCTGGTCTTGGAGCCCTCCTTGCAGGCTTGGGCCGTTCCTTTTTTCCCTTTCCAGCGACCGCAGGCCTCTTGGTTCATGAAGGGCTGATCCTGCCCACCCCGGGGACAGCTGGAGGGGGGGCTCTAGGGCTGGGCTGGGGGGCTCTGCTGTCTGAGACGGCAGCCATCCTCCTGCCCTCCTTTGCCTGCAGATTGTTGACCTGTAGTCCAGGAGGGAGGCTGGCTGGAACACACACACACACACACACGGCTCCCTGGCCTTGGAAGGGGAACTGCTCCTGGCGGGAGAGAGGGGTTCACGCAGGGTGGGCACTTGTTCTGGATCTTTTCCCCCAGGGCTGCCAATACACAATGCCCCCATAAGGTGAAGGCTTGAAAGCTCCTGTGGGGCTCGGAGGGTTTAACAAATGCAGAGTCCCGTGCAGGTCAAGACGCGTTTGCTTCTCAGACGGCAGGATGCCCCCTTCCCAGGTCCTGAGTGTCCCCCTCACCTTCCCCGCAGGTCCCTCCTTCCTTCACCTGGCTCTGCCAAAGCCCAGGGGTCTCTTTCTTGGGGCATCCAGTTGAACCCAGGACCCGGTTTTCCTCCCTTCATGAAGGGGGGGGCTCTGAGGGCCGAGAGAGGATGCCCGCCTGGCAGGTGCGGAAGGAAGCGAGGACTTGGCGAGGACTTTCCTGGGTCCCAAAGACCCCCGTCTCTGAAGCCGCGACCACGGAAGCTGAGCTGCCTTTTCCTTTCAGGGCAACCGGACTCCTCTCTAACAGGTGGTGCTTTTCTTTTATTGACGTGCCAAACCAACACTCTGCGTGGAGCGACTCCTGGTTCCTCCCCTGGGAAGCGCCACTCTCTCCACCTGACAGTATTTCCATTCCTGAGCACTGAGTCTTATTTGAGCCGTCCGGGCGGTCCTTGCTGTCTTCAGCTCCTCCGTTGGGCCGTCCGGAAACAAGATCCTTGCGTGGTTCAGCACGTGGGCAGGGTCCAGCCTCCTCCCCACTCCATCCCGAGGGGTGCAAAGCGCTTTGAGGTGGGGGGCTGCACCCCCAGGGCATTCCCTCCTCCCCCCCAGTCCCTCCTGATTGTAGACCCTCCCTCGACATTGTGAAACCCAGACAGTCGTGCCCGTTGCGTGTTTCCTTCCCTCGGCTTTCCTCTTGGTCTCCTTTTCTTCCCTATCTCGGGTTCTGCCAAGCAACGCTTCGTCTCTGAGGAGGTTCCCTCGGGAGAGCCTGCAACTAAGTCGAAATGTCATAAAGTGCTTTTTGAAGCAGCAGCATATTGGGGTATCTACTCTTGTTTTATTAAAAAAAAAATGCTATTTTCTTACTTCTAGCTGTGCTACAGTGTACATAATTTGAGTTAAGACCATAGGAAATCCACTTTTAAGCTTGGTGTTGTAAAGTTAACCCACATTTAACTTACCTTTCTAATGTTAAAAGTTTAGGTTTTGTTCCTGTCGGTTGTTTTAACGACAGAATTATTTCTTCCCTGCTGGATTTTTTTTATTATTTTTATTTTTGGAAGAGGCCGCCACCTGAAAACCTCCTCCGTCTTCAGGGAAAAGGGCGGCCTCTGCAGCCACAGGAGGCCCGGGGCGCCTGCCGACTTTCCCTCCCCGGGGCTCCAGGGCAGGGGGGGCTTGTGGAGAGAGGCCTCTCACGTTGCCCTTCTCCCCTCTGGCTGCTCCAGATGTGCTGGGCTGCTCTTCCCATCACTCGGGGTCGGCTGCAGCAAAGCACGCCTGATGGGCGGCCAGTGCAAAGGCCTTGGGGTAGAGTGAGCGGTTGCGAAGGCTCTTGCCAGGCGGCCAAGAGTGGTGGTGGGGTC